GAGGATAAAGTAATTAAGATATTTAAGAGGACAGGCTCTGTAGCTCAGATGTATAGCACTTGCCTAGTGTGTTCACAGCCTCAGGTTCCAGCCCCAGGACTGAACAAAACAGCTTGAGCTGGGAATGCAACTCAGGGAAAGGGTGCGGGTCTAGCGCACACAGGCCCTGGGCTTGACCCCCAGCCCTGGGGCAGGGTTGGGGATGGCAGGTAGGACAAGTATTACAGGTGAGACAGACGGGGTCCAGGGACTCTCAGGTCTCAACCCTGGGCATCTGAAGAGATGGTGGAACAAACCCAGGCACGAAGGAAGGAGCAGGCCAGAGGTGGCACATTCTAGACCCACTGAGGTTGCAATGTCTCGGTTGTCTCCATAGCTGGTTTAAACATGTCTCTTAGAGACAGGCCAGGGTCCAAGCCCATGATGCCTTTTTTTTCTATTGTTTATTAATGGGTTTCATCTTGGTAGACCTGCACAGAACACACTGAATGTTTCACCCCTTCTGTCAGCCTCTCACTCCACCCTCCCCCTAGTCTCACATTTTTTCCTGAGGGAAGGTTTCAATGCCCCTCATTATCTGCTTTTACATCCCACTCTTCCTTTTTCCCTTCTTCTAATAGTCATCTCTTACTATCTGTTATCCTTTTTTAAGTTCCATGTATTAAGAACACACAATATCTATCTTTCTGAGTTTGGCTTATTCTGTGCAGCATGATGGTGTCCAGATCAAACCAGTATTTTGCAAATGACAGAATTTCATTCCTCCTTGGGCCAGCCAGACAGCTCAGTGGACTAAAGTGCCGGGGTTCAATTCCTGGCGTGCCGTGCTACCCCGTCTCCCCCACTGGGGGAGGCTGAGATGGCAACTGAGACCGGGCGTGGCGGTACATGCCTGTAATCCCAGCACTTGGGAGATTGCAAACAGGAGGATCACTATGAGTCCCATCTGTGTAGCGAGACCCTGCAGGCCCTGTATTAGATACATAAAAAAGGAAAAGAATTTCATTCCCCCTCGTGGTTATGACACCCCGTTGTGTATGTGTGCCACATTCACTTCACCCGCTCATCTGCTGTGGGCCTCCAGGCTGATTCCCTACCTCAGCTACTTTGAGTTGTGCTGCAGTGAACACAGGTACACAAGCACCCCGATAGTATGCCCATCTTTAATTCCCTCAGGTATATACTATTGGAGTGGTGCAGCTGGATCAAGTGGCAGCTTTAGTTGTAGTTTTTTGAAGAGCTTCCATGCTGATTTCCATAGTGGGTGTACTCATTTACACGCCCACCAGCCACGTAGAAGGGTTTTTCCCCTCCGCCCTCACTAGCATTCATTGTTTTTTGTATTCTTGATGACAGTCATTCGACTGGAGTGTGGCTTTAATTTGCATTTCTCTCATGCCTAAGGATGTTGAACTGCTCTTTTTATAGTGCTGGGTACACTGTGGGTACTTGTGCTTAAAAGAGGGGGGGAGGGGAAAATCCAGGTGGGTTTGTGGGTTAGGAAAACTGTGTACAAACTTAAAGATCACCCCCATGTAAGTTGTTTAACTTCAGAGTGCCTAACATAACACAGGAAGTATAAATCTTTTTTTTTTTTTTTTTTTTTTGGCAGTACTGGGGATTGAATTCAGGACCTTGTGCTTGCCAGGCTGGCGCTTACGCCACTGAGCTATATCCCCAGCCCCTTAACACAGGAATTATAAAGTTAAAAGAAGGCAGAAAGAGCCCTGAAGAATGCCAGCACGTATAAGACAGGTAGTAACAATAATGTCTAATCCTCAGAGTACTCCACACCTAGTCCCATTTGGTCGAAAATATGTTTTTTCAGACAGGGTCTTGCCACATAACCGAGGCTGGCCTTGAACTCACGGTGATCCTCCTGCTTCAGCCTCCAGAGTACTGGGATTACAGGTGTGTGTTACCACGCCTGGCTTGGTTGCAAATATCTTTCCTTACATATGCAATCTCTCCCAGGGAGAACTGATCTGAGTACAGCTGTAGGAAGCTGATGACTACAGGTCTCACACCTCCAGTGTAAATTAATATTTACTTAGTGATTACTGTGTGCTAGGCTAAGTACTTCATGCATATTAATTCCTACAACACTGTAAAAATGATCAAACACTAAGAAGGAACTACAGCAACACAGAGAGGAGGACAGGATGAGGAAATAATTCAGAAAGCCCTGGGAATAGAGCTAGGTTTAAAACAATCTTTCAACATGAAACTAATTTTTCTGAATACTTGAAAAACTTAAAAAGGTATTTTATCTGACTTGATGGAATTGGCAGATTTCAAATTTGTTTCTTTTCAGTGTTCTGAGACAGGATCTTGCTATGCATTTCAAGCTGGTGTCAAACTTGCAGAGATCGTCCTGCCTCAGCCTCCTTAGTGCCACAAGCAACACTATCCCTGGCTAGGTTTGACATTTCTTGCACACTCACTAAAAACAAACTAGAGCTGTCTTTTTTAAATATAATTTTTAAAAAAATATTTATTTGGTACAGGGTCTCATGTAGCTTGGACGTAGCGATCCTCCTGACTCATTCTCCTGGGATTCTAGGCATGCACCATTGGTTCTAAAGATCCCCAAGTAGGTAACAAATGAGAGATTTAGAAAAAAGAGAGAGAGAGAGAATTAGAGGCCGGGGAGATGGCTCAGTAGAATAAGCATTTCCCTGGCAAGTGCAAGGGTCTGAGTTCAATCCCTGGTTCCGCCAAAAAAAAAAACAAATGAGAGAATTGTCTAGACAGGTAGGTGCTTATGCCCCTGAGCTATCTCTCCAGTAACCCACCCCTTTTTTTAGATTAAAAAATATATTGGGCCACATTTGTAGTGCTGGTACATGTATTTATATAAACATTTTGATGGAACAGAAGTGCTCTCTGGCTAGGACACAGATATGAGGCTCTAAGCACTCTCCCAGGAAATGTAGTTTCTAGACCAGTATCACAGAAACGAGACTCAGGCCTGGCATACAGCGCACTCGCAGAGTGGGCTTAGCATGCAGAAGGCCCGGGTTCAACCCCCGGCACCAGCAGAAAAGCCCAAGTCATCAGCTCATAGTGCATGCCCAGGAACTCCTGCTCCATGAGCCCCACAGCTAATCCTGCTTCTGTCCTTCCAAATGCTGGTTCTCATGCCCTTCCTTCCATTTCAGATTCTTCCATAAATTCCTCAATAAAGCTAGCCAGCTCCATGCATTAAAGTGCCTGCAAACAGTCGCAGGGGCTGGGGGCTCAATTCCAGGGCCTGCTGTGCCGGCCCAACCCCAGGGCTTGCTGAGATGGCAATCGAGACTGGGCATGGTGGCATGAGCCTGTAATCCCAGCTCTTGGGAAGCTGTAAAGAGGTGGATCACTATGAGTCCGATCTAGTAGTGAGACCCTGAACACCCTGTACACTGTTCCCTAAAACACAAAAAAAGAAAAAAGAAAAAAAAAAAGGTAGTCAGGGTCAGATGCAATGCTTACAAACAAAAACTCCAGCAGTGCCAAATGATGTAGCCAGCTAGAGCATGTGCTAAGCCCAGCAGATGGATGGGAGCGATATAAGACAGGCAGGCTCCTTCCCTGTCTTCTTTCCCACTGTGTTCACAGGCCCAGCATGGAGATGGGACCATGGCATTTCTCTTGTGATAGGCCAACAAATCTCAGCTTCTTGGGGCCGGGAAGTTAGCTCAGTAGAATAAGCACTTGCCTGGCAAGTGCAAGGGCCTGAGTTCAATCCCCAGTTCTGCCAATAAATAAATAAATAAATAAATAAATAAAAATTCACCTCAGCAACAGAATCACATTTCTCTAAGTGCCATCCATACCTAACAACTTTTGAGGAACATACTTCGGGAAGGTGATTGCTCCTGGTCCTGGCCCTGGTCCTGGATTCAACTACACCGACGGCCATACTGTGGCACACGCAAGAACTATTTGTGAAACCTCTATAATTTTTATTTTTCTTTTTTTTTTTTATATATTTATTTTTATTTATTACATTTATTTATTGTGTGTGTGTGTGGCCAGCTCAGCCCACCAGGGGGCGGGTCTGGCTGGCATGTGGTGCTGGGGATCGAACCGCGGTCCCTGTGCTTTGCCAAGCTTGTTTCAAGTAGGTGCTTTAGACCACTGAGCCATCTCTCCAGCCCCAATATAATTTTTATTTTTCTAGTACTAGGGATCAAACTCAGGATCTTGCACCTGCCAGGCAGGTGTTTAAGCCATTCAGCTATCTCCTTGGCTCTGCAGTTTTTATGAGGTCTTTACTCAGTTTCCTTTGTGCCACCAAAGTTGCTAGTACTGTCTTCAGCATGGACTTCTTATTCCAGACTGTAATTATTTGTCCGATTTCAGTAGTGGCTATGAACTTCTGGAGAGCAGAGTATTAACTGAGGTTAGTATTTTGCACTGTTTAATCAAATAACAATCCAACATTATTTCTAATAAGGAAGCTGGGGGATATTATAGGTAAAGATCATGTGAACTAATCCCTTTTTAAGCATTTTTTAAAAATTAAATTTAAAAATTTATTTGACACAGGGTTTCACTATGCAGTTCAGACTCATGGTGAATCTTCCTGTCTCAGCCTCCCCAGTGCTGGGATTACAGGTGTGCGCCACCATGCCTAGTTCTGGACTGGCACAGGGGCACATGTGATACCAGGGATGGAACCCAGGTCCTTGTGCTTGCCGGGCAGGCACTTAGGCCACTGAGCTTTCTCCAGCCCCACTAATTGCTTTTTAAAAAGACAAAACCAAGTAATGGTAATAATTTTTAACTCTGAAAGGTAGCTTACCTGTGGTTGTTCAGCAACAGATCAGGGCCCCAATCCAAGTCAGTGTTCCGTGGCTGTGGAACCATTCCATTCTCACCAACAAAACCCTTCTGCAAAGGGAACATACACTTTGCAGCTGTTCTCACATCTCTTCCACACAAATCACTCAATCTAACCGTCCATTTAGATTTCAGGACAAAGTTTATTTGAAGAACTTAAGTAACTACTGAATCTCCCTCCACTCCCACTCCACAATCTACCCGTCCACCTCTCAACAGAGGGGCTGTCCCTATCAAATGTGGGAAGGAAAAGGAGGCAGCGTGGTCCCACTGTGCAGTTACTCTGTAGCATTCAGCATGGGTAGCCTCAGCCCTGAGTCCCTCTGACCACAGCAACTTTTGAGCATGGCCGTTACCTGAGCGCATTTTAGTCCATTGCCATCTCCTGAGTACACTGGCCACATTGATCACTGTGATCAACATACAAGTTAGCAGTGGGGGTGAAAGGCAGCCAAGAGGCACAGGCTGGTGAGGGAATACCCCATTAAAAAGGATTCTATGAAGGATAATGGAATGCTCAATTTGTTAAAGTGCTCAACTACAATATTTAAAGGTGTTGGGAAAGTATCTACTGGTGAGAAAGCTGAAGGGCTTTCAATCTGAAGGGGTTCTGAAAAGATATAACGAAATTCTGTTCAAATAGTATCAATACCAGGGAGAGTAAAGTCTAACATGAATTATTTGAGCTCTAAATCAAATATCTCCAATTGGAGACCAGCTCCTTTAACTCTTCACATATACTAACTAAAACATTTTCACTATGTTGCTTTGCTCTAATTCTCTTATGAAATAACCTTGTACTCTGAACTCTGGTTTCCTCCACAGATATCAACACTATAAAACAAAGTTCCATTCTGGGCAAGTGACTGATTTAAGGATGCTCTATATGCCATTTTTGCATAGGGTGGTTAACAGAAAACTGGATGATAAATCTGGAGCTTCCAAATAACCAAGGAGAAGCACATGCTCAAGAACAAGAAGTCCAAATCACCTCTAATCTCTTGGCATGATTACAAAACATAGGACAGGGGAGGGGAGGGTAAAGTATCCAGCAGCAGTGGCTATCTGGTCGTGGGAGACAGTGTACAACCTTAGCAGTCACTTGTAAGTCCAGTGGGCAGTAGCCCAACCCCGGTCCTTGCATAGGTCTCGGTGGCGGAGGAAACAGGCGTGGACTCGGAACCGTCGGCCACAGTGGGGACAGGCATGCAAGGCTCCAGCATGGGTCTTCATATGCTCGGTCAGATGATGCTTCAGTTTGAAGCGCTTGTTGCAGATGCCACAGCCAAAAGGCCGAAGGCTGAAAGTCAGCATGATGTGTCGGTCACGTTTTGGCTTTACTGCAAACCGCTTCCCACACAAGCAACCAAAGCGCTTTCCATCTGCAGGGGGTGTTCCCCCCAGCTTCACAGGCCCATGCACAGCCTGCCCTGCTCCCCCAGGTCCTCCACCTGCTGACAGGATTTCATTCCCATGAAGATCCACTGGTTTCCACGATGGACCCCCATTTCCAGATGTTGCCCCTGCTCCTGAGGGCAACAAAAACCTCAGCTCCCCATTCTCTTCAGAGTCCCCTCCAGGGAAAACTTTGGTCTCTTCCTTTGCTCCTCCAGACTGAGATCCACCTCCAGCTACTTCCTCCTTAGGCTCATAAGGTTCCTGCTTAATGTAGAAGATTTTGGGGGCCAGTGCAGGAGAAGCAGGAGGCTCAAGGGGGACACTGTCACCCTCTGGAAGCCTGTGAGAAGTAGCAGATATGGGCAGTGGGTGGGAGCCACGGATACAGGGAAAATTCCCTGATACTCTCTGAGGTTTAGGGGCTTGAGAAAGTGTGGCTGCTGATTCTTGGTCCTCTTCTTCTTCCTCCTCCTCCTCTTCTTCCTCTATCTGAATCTGTAATACTTCTCCCAGCTCACTCCCTTCCCCTCCAACGGGGCTCTCCGTGGAGGCAGGACTCTCAGTAGCAGTGGAGGGCTGCACTGGGGTCTGGAAAGGGGAAGAGCGAATGCACCAGCTTCCGGGAGAGGATGTGGTGGAAAGAAGTGTGTGGCAGGAGGCTCCTCCTCGGGCTGCAATTCCACCACCTGAAGTTTCTAGCTTTCGAAGAATCTCTGAGCACTGATCTACTACTTGCCACATCTGAAGGCCGCTGGCTACAAGAAGATGGGCTGGGAGAGCATCCACTGGCAGGCGAAGGTGTCCTGAATAAATGAGCTGAAGCAGCCCTTCAAAGGCATCAGCCTCAATGACACTGGGAAGGGTAAGCCGAGGTGCATCCCCCAGAAGCAGCTTGTCGTGGAAGTAAGGAGAGGCAGCAGCCAACACTGCTTTGTGAGCCCTAAGTTCGCGGCCCTGCACCAGCAGGGACACATCACAGAACTTTCCCTCCAGCCTATGGCGGTTCAGGGATTCTAGCAAGAGCGAGCTATGCCGGGGAAATGCGATGTGTATTGTCCGTGGGGCTCCACTGCAGACTGGAGAGAGGGTTTCAGGAGATAAAGGTGTGGAAGAATCCATCATTTCAGTCAGGCCCCTGAGGACTGTGAAGAGATAGGGGTTTGGGGGTAAACTTTACGCTGGACAAAGGCTGTGAAGGCAAAAGATGGGAGTCACAGAAGCCCTGCGCTGGGAGAATCAGGTCTCCACAAACTGCCCCGCACCCACCCACCCCACTTGGGAACTTTTCAGTCAGCGCCAGTTTTGGCAGACGAGTCCCGCCCACCAAGAACAAAAACAGCACACCAACCGCGGGTTTAACTTCCAGGCTCTGTGGAAAATGAGGAGGTGCTTCGGCCAGGAGCTTGACCTCGCCGGCCGCAGGCGGCCCCTTGCCCCGCCCCTCGTTCCGCCTCGAGTGCGCGCAGAGGATGCTCTCTGGAAACTTCGGCTACCCAGACACCACGAGGCCGGCCGGGCGCCTTCCCGCCGACACGCCCCCGCCGTTACACACGCAGCACTGGACTCGCAGCACCTCAGCCGCTACCACGCCGAGCAAGGCCGGAAGCCACCGCCTCCTCGCCGGACGCCGTAGCCTGGAGCGCAGGGCGGGACTGAGGCTACGGCCAATCGCAGGGCGGGGACCTACAAGCCTCGTGCTGATTGGCTACCCGGGCAGGAGGGGCGGGGCTGGTGGAAGACCGTGGTGCCCGAGCCGGCGGGTGAGGTGTCGCGGGCAGCGGGCCGGGGAGGACGTGGGCCGTGGCTCCGAGAGGCCAGGGTCTCCCGGTGATTAGGTGTGACGCCTGTCCCACCCCAGTGGGGAGTGAGGTTATTGGTCACCTCTGTGAGCTGGGCATCTGTGTCCTTCCAGCAGCCTGGCGAGGTAGGTGTGGCCGCCCCCCCCCCTTCCAAGGGAGAAATCGAGGCTGGGAAAAGCGCTCTGCTGGCAGGTGGCGGGTCGGGAACCCGGACTTGTTAAGGAACTGGGTACTTTCCTCCTATTTGCAGCGCAGCATTTTAACAAATTAAACAGTCTTATTTCCAGGGGATCGCTTGGAAAAAAATGTACTCTTGGATTTTGCCTCTGCTCATATGCCGGGCTGGTGTGGCCAGCGCATCTCCTGCTCCAATGGAGAAATCTCGCTGGCTGGGAGTGTGACATTTGAGGGGATCGTGGCATCAGGCAGGGATCTGTGGCCTCGCCCCCAAGCTGTCAGCATGCTCTCAAGATCCTGTCACCCTGTGGTGGGGCCCAGAGACCCAGGCTAAGAGAGTCACCGCAGCGATAAAAGAACAATCTCCGTTTATTAAACATGATTTTTCTGTTTCACCACACACTCCAGAAAAAAAGGAAATGGGGCTGGGAGAAAGGGGCCAGTGGTTGGGGACAGAGAAGGTTGGGAGTGGGAAGGGGAGAGAGAACGAGAAAACAAAACAAAACGGGTAGAAAGAGCTCCCTACCCTTTGGGTGGGAGAGGCGGGGCGGGGGCAGGGGCCAGGAAGCTCTGTACAGAAGGGTTGCCCCCAGCCCACACACACACACACACACACCCCGAATATGTACAGTACAAACCCCAGATAATTACAACAGCCAAAGAGAGAAAGGGGTCCTAGGGCAGGGCCTGAGGTGGGAAAGCAGAGAGGGCACAGGGATAAAATTTCACATATTTACAACTTTTATATAAGTATAAATTTGGCCCCGGCTGGGTGTATGTGTGTAGGGGGATGGGGCTGAGGGAGAACTGTCCATACAAAAGAAAGAAGGGTGGGGTCTGGGAAGTCTCAATATCAAACGCAAGGATGAGGGACCGAGACTGGGCCGGGGACAGCAGTCCGCAAGAGGGGTGTGCCAAGGAGGGGCTTCTCCTTCCCACGGCCAGCCCGCCCCAAGCCCCATCCATCCTACCTCCCCGTCCCGCCAGAGAGCTATGTACAGAGAAACACCGATGTGGACTGGCGGGTGGGGAGGAGGCGAGGGGGGAGGGGGCGGGGGAGGGTGGGAGGGAAGCCCGGCCCTGTCCTACCCCCCCAGGGGGACAGAGGCATTAAGGGCCCCCCAACACCCCTCCTCCAACATAGGTCCCCCACCCTGGGGGAGAGAGACATGGCTTTTCCTAGAGTAAGTTCCCCCCTCCCCCTGGGAGTAGAGACCGAGAGAGAGGAGAGGAGACTGTTGGGGGAGGAGGGCCAACTGGCCTGTCCCCGCCCACACACACACCCTCCTACATCCCTCATCCTATCTCAATTCCACCCCACCCAACACACTGGGGGAGGGGGGGGCCTAAGCCCCCTCACCCCGCTCTGGGACCAGCCGAGAGCAGATCAGGTGTGGGAAGAAGGGGAGAAGACTCCCATTCCCCCCTTGCCGCCCCCTCCCTGCCCCGCTGGCCCCTTCCACCCCATCTGGGTTCTGGGTGGGGAGGGAGTAAATGTGAGAGTGGAAGGAGAAGGGAGTTTGTGCGTGCTGAGCCCCCCCCAGACGCTCCTGAGAAATCAAGGGGTAATAGGGCCCCCTCACCCGGGGTCCCCTCCCCATAACAAGGGGGGTAGGGGAGGCCAAAATGGGGCGGTGCAGGGGAGTTAGATTGTCAGCTCTGGTTACTGCTAAAAAATCACCCTGAAGTTGAAAGTTTGGAGGTGCCACACCCCCAGGGCAGGGGTGAGGGTCTGTCCCCCAGTGTTCAGGGGACTGATGAGGCAGAGGATGGGGATAGCACCCCGGAGTAGAGGGGTCTGTGTAGGGCTGGCGGTGTCCTGGGGCAAGGTTGGGGGGGGAAGGGGTGTCAGAGAGGCGGCAGCACCCCAACAGTAAGGGAAAGAGGGCAGTTGAGGGTACCCCCTTCCCTCCTGGAAATGGTGCGATGGGGGCAGGGGCCTGTGCTCCCCAAGGAGGCCTTCAGGGAGTCCCTCGGTGACGTCCAGTCTTGGTGGTTGGTGCTGTTCTGGGGTGGGGGCAGGAGGAGGCGGAGGTCTGTGATGCTGGGTGGGCTAGTGGTCTGCGGTGTTTCGGAACTCGCCGTTCTCCGTGATCTGCAGCCGGGGTGGGGGGGGCGGGGCTGGGGGGGCCAGGCCGTTCCAAGGTGGGGCCAGCGTCACACGCGGGTTTGTTGGACCCAAGGGGGGAAGCTGCCTCTCCTGCAAGACACCAAAGAGGAGAGCGCGGACTTATTGAGACGCTTCGCGGGCGCCTGGCTGCCAGCCCCCAGCAGTGGCCACCCCCCAGCCACCCCTCCAGACACTGCCACCCTCTCCTCCCAGCACAATCCCCACCTCCTGCTGCTTCTCACCTTCAGGATGCTTTGGGATCAGGGAGACTTTCACACACACCCCCACTCCTAACTGGGGCCTTCAAGCCTTCAACCCAGCGTAACACCAGGAAACCAGCTCGAAGGCAACAAGCTCCCACAGCCCTTCCGGCCTCACCCACTGGCTTCACCTCCATGCCCCCTGCTTGGTCCACCCTCCTCCTCTTGGCACCCCTCACCCAGCCCACCCCCGGCCCAGGTAGGAACTGTGCATTGAGGAGCCAAGGGAGGCAGTACAGCAAAACCTCGTTAATCCAAACCCCTGTGGATTTGGAATTTTGTCATAATTTGAACAAAAACTGGGCTTGAGTTTGCCTTTATCTGTGAAGAAAGGGTATGCTAAGCAAATTGGCGGTGGGAACGTGCCTGTGGGAGGGGGCATTTAACCTACAGCAGCAAACAGAATTTTCAGTCCTGTCTATTCATTAAGGCATGCTGAGGGCCGGAGTGGAAAAGCCCTGTTCACCAAGTTCTACTTACTGTATATATTTTGAAGACATGCATTTCATTAAATAGACACTGTCATTCAGTTTTGTCACTTATTCAGAGTGGCCATCTTCTCAAATATAACATCCCAAATTAGAGAGGTTTAACTGTACTGGGGGAAAGGAAGGGGATTCAGGGAGGTGACGTGGGAAGGGAAAGCTCGTGGAGGACCACCTTCCTACTCGGCAGCAGCGCAGCGGAGTGACTAGAGTGCCCGCGGTGACACAGCCAGCCCCATCTGCACCCCAGGGGGCAGAAGCAGCTCCATTCCTGTCCTCCCCGCTTCCTTTCAGTCCCCTCGGGGCTCCCGACCCTCCTCCCACCCTAGGCCTATTCTCATCTCTGGCACCTGGACCAACTGCTGGTTCCTTCTGTTCCTCTGCAGGAAGAAAGGAAAGTCACCCGAATCCCCATACACAACACTTCCGGTCACACACAGCCTTCTTAAAATCTGGGCTCAAAATCAGTATTTCAATTAAAGGCTGAGTGGCAGAGGAACCGATACCTACAAGCAGTTTAAAACAATTGCCCAAACTACTTTGCGGGCCACGGGCACTTGGGTGAGCTGGCTATGCTGGGCCGCAGCGTCCTGTAAGGCTCCAGACCCGCTCTCCTTTCCCTTACAGGACACAGAACTCACCTCTCGGTCACCCAAACCCCGCCTTAAGCAAAGTGGCCCTCCCAGCTCTCAGTCAGTGGGACAGGAAGTGACACAGTCAGGCACTGTGTGGCAGGGGGCAGGGGAGGGAACCTTCTGACTCCCCTCTGCTGTCTGCTGCTGATGGCACATGGGCATGCCCCCTACACCCCCGTGGACCCACAATTAGAAAGCTGATAAATAAGGGTGCCGTTATTCATTTTACAAAAGAATTCCCGGCAGGAGCCCTTGAGATGGTGAGGTCCCCTGGTGCCTTTGAGCATCTGTTTACAGATCCGCTAACTGCTTTGACAGAGAGGCTGGGCTGGCAGAGTTAAAATTACAGCGTGAGGGGCCAAAGCCCACTGCAGCCCAATCTCACAGAAACGGAGTCTCAGAAAGGGCGTCTGTGGCTGACAGGTTCCCATTTACTGGCTTTCTATGCAGGATGCATCCAAGGCCATTAGGTGGTGGGAGGCACAAGTGAGTGGTGTTAGCAGCTCAGGGATGCGAGCTATGGCAAGAATAGACGCATGCCTGTGAGGCCAGCACTCGGGGGCTGAGGCAGAGGATCGATACCAGCTTGAGGCCAGCCTGGGCTACATACTGATTTAAAGGCCAGCCTGAACTATACACATAGTGAGATCCTTTCTGGGGGGGGGATAAAAAAGGGGAGGGGGTGGAGAGACGGCACAGTAGAGTAAGTGCTTACAAGGGTCTGACTTCAATACCCAGTTCCGAGAAAAAAAAAAAAAGTTATTCAACATGCTGTTGTTGGCATCTGTGCCTGGGAATGGCATGGCTGCTGAGCCCACGAGGCGGTCTAGGAAGGTCTCCGCACCTCGGCCTCTCCGGCTACAGGGGCAGATCTGACTCGACATCTGTCCAGGGCTCTTCTTCTTCCACTCACCCTAGCTACTTCAGGACAGCTCAAGGGCATCTTTTCCAGGGCCCCTCCAAGTCCCTGAAGTAACTGCCGCTCCTAATTCCCCCCAGGGGGCTAACTAGAGTCCCAGACAGACTCTACTCTCAGGTGTAAGGGAGGAGGAAGAAAGTGAGAGAGAGAGGAGTGGAGCAAGAAGGGCAGAGAGCCAGGGTTAGGGAAGGAAGAGGTACCCCAACCTACCTGCTGCACGCCACACCATCCCTATAGCTGGGGCCCCACCCCCTTTCTGCCCTGTTAGAGAACCCACCCCGATGTCCCACTCCCAAGGACGCTCTGGTGAAATGGGGGGTGACAGACAGACACTGGAGAGGAAGAGGAGCAGGAGGCTTGGGCAGGAGGCAGGGAGAGTGGTCTGGAGGAGGGTGTGGCCTGTGTCTGGGTGGGGTGGGTGTGCTCCTGGGTGGTGCTGGGTGGCTGTGTCTGAGGTGGGGTCTGTGGGGGGCAGCAGTGAGGGGAGAGGCTCTGGACGGTTGGAGGGGATGGGCTTCATGACCAACCTGCAGTGGTCCGGAGTCACCTCCCCCTGTGTCCTCCGCCCGTGGCCAAAGCGGAACCAGGAGAACTACCTGATGAGAAGCTGCAGGGGGAGAGAGTGGGTCATGGGATCAGGGGCCTTGGTGGTGAGCAGGGAGGCCTGGTGGTCAGCGCAGAGGAGGGAGGAGGCCGTGGGGAGGAGAGCGGGCAGGAGGAGAGGGGAGGGCCTCGAAGGCGGCTGGGCGCAGAGGGGCAGCAGAGGAGGTGTGCAGCAGGCCAGAGCTGGAGCTAGAGCTAGAGCTGGAGCTAGAGCCGGAGGGTGTCCCAGAGAAAGGCTGCACTGCAAGGGACAGGGCTCCAGGAAGGCTTTGTGAAAGACAGGAGAGAAGCTAGGAGTCAGAATGGTGAACCAGGAGAATGGAGGTGAAGGGACCCCAAGTCTCCAAGGAACCTGTGCTCCATTCTGGCACAGAGTGACTCCTGCACTCCTGGCCCAAGAAAAGCTCAGGGGAAGCCAACTCCTCTGAGCAAAGAAGAGTTCTCGGAGCCAGAGGAAGTGGGCAGCTCTCAGGGTGGAAAGTTCCAGGCTCTGGTAGATGATCCTGAGACATGGACCGGGAGGGAGGAGGGGCAGGAAGGCACGGGGCGGGTGGACGCTGCCAGGGGTGACCAAGGCACAGACGATGGGATGGAGATGGGTCACTGGGGGGCCACGCAGAGCAGCCAGTGGACAGACGGAGGACAACAGGAGACGATGGTGATGGGGCTGGGCTGGCCGGTGGTGAGTGCACATAGGACGGTGGGATGGATGGGGATGGGACACGGAGAAGATAAATGACATTGTAATTTCCACCTGAGCGTCGAGCAGCCTCTTCTTGGGTTCAGGCAGGGGCTCAGCCATGGTGGGGTGGTCCCGGCGCAGCTCCTCCTCCACCAGCATCAGCCTGAAGGGACGGGCTTCAGTGGGGTCAGCGGCGGGGACAGGCTCAGAGCCTGCCCATGCAACTCCTACCCGGAGCCCCGCCGCTCCCCGGAAAAGGCCTAGGCCTCCTCCCTGCCCTTGGAATCCCTCCCTGGCATCACCCAGAAGGCTTCCCTCACAGGGGACCCTCAGGACCCTCACATCTCTCTGCTGAGGAAGTTCCCTGTATGTGCCTCCAAGACCTCTGTCACCAGAGGGCCACAGCCCTCCTCGGGAGGCACAGCTCTGCCCTGCCCCAGCTGCTGAGGCTGAAGACCTGGCATCTCTGCCTCCCAAGCTACCTTGGTGACCTCCCCTGGGACCCCAGCCTCAGAGGCCGCGTCATCCTCGTCATGCCCAGCACCTCCCTGCCTTGGGTGAGGACTCTCAAGGTCATTTCCCGTAAAGCATCTCAAGTAGAACAGCAGTTTTAGAAAAGGTTTCAACTCAAGAACTCCTTTTCTTGTAAGTCTCACTCAAAAACATGTAATGTCTCAAGACAGAGCTGGCTTTGGCTGCAGTGAACTTCGGGGTCCCCTGCTCCAGCTTGAGGTGACTGACCCCTTAACTGGACCCATCCATGGGAGCCATGCAGGGACTCAAAGGCCTTTTCTGAGGCTGGGGAAGAAGGCTCTTCCCAGGAACCGGGTGCTCAGGGCCTCTCTGGCTACAGCTTCCTGCTTAGTTCTGGGGTGAACCTCACAGGCTGCCTCGTGAATACCCAGTGGAAGCCCTGGGGTAGGCCTTATCTAGGTACAGAGGCGTTTTCCCAGTCCACGGCCATCAGGGCTTGCTGAGAGGTATTCAGTGCCCTAGGTGGGTTTTGCTCCGTGCAGTGACAGGAGAACGAATGGTGTCCCAGGGCAGTAGCTCTCCTGATGTAGCCCGACTTGGGCACAGGTGGGAGGAAGAGCTAGGTGCTTGCTCCCCTGTGCCTCAGGCGCTCCCTGCTACCCTCCCCGGGCCGCCCCTCACCTGCCAATGATGCTCTTGATCTGCGAGTCCTTCTCCACCTGCTGTTGCCTCAGCCTCTTCTCGCTCTGCTCCAGGCGCGCCTGATACTGCATCAGGATCTTGCTGGTCTGCTCCTCCTGGGACAGCAGCCTCCGCTCGTACTCTTCCAGCTTCCGGTTGGACATGTGCAGCCGCTCTTTCAGTGAATGGATCTCCTCCTCGTACTCCTTCACCTGCCCGCCGGGCACACGACCCCGCACTGTGAGGGGCGCCTGCCCGGTCCCACAGCCAGCCCACCCCCATCTGCCCCACACAGCCACTGTTTGGGCAGGGGCACGCAGCCCTTTCCATGCCCGGTGGACACACTTGCCCCACATCTGACAGGGCTCTGTCGTGATGCTGAGACGTCCTCACGACAGAGCAGAGTCTCAGACGCCACACCACAGTGTGTGGCATCACACATGCATGAGAACACAGGAGGATGCACCCCCAAGCCAGACTCGGACACCCTGAGTGTGCCCAGATATCAACTGTAAAGGGACGTCAGCCAGAGGCCAGGACAAGCACGTGAAGAAAGCCAAGAAGACCCCTTCTGGATGGAGCCTGGGGTAGTCTGACATGGGATGCCATCCTAGCTGTGCCCGGGCGACAGGTCTCTGAGGGAGTTCCCCATTGAGAAATTAGAACACCTCTGGGTCTGCACAACTCTGGAACTGGGCAGAAGAGGCGTTTTATCTGCCCTGCTGGCGCCAGAGTCCACAGCGTGCTACTGTCGTAAGAAGGCAGCCACAGCCCACATGCAGCTATTCTACTGCGTTGGCGTCAGGTCTCAGGGTCACGCCCAGGGCCTTACTTGGGCTGTGTACATACCGTACCACTAACCAACACCCCTACACACAAACACACAGCTACGTAAGTGTCCAATAACACTCAAATGCTTAGCTCCCGAAGTGCAACAAGCCACCTGTCCAGCCATGAACAGTGGGGGTCACGGCCCTGAAGAGGCCTTTGCCAGCCTCTGAAGGGGACACACAGAGCCAGCCTCACTCCGAACACTGAGGGCAGATGAATCATCCAGACGTGCTGCACAGACGCAGCCCCTGCAGCCCGCCCGACTGAGACGCTCGCACCCCTGGTGAAGTAGCCTCTGCTCAGAGCAGTCCCCACCCAGAGCAGGGCTCTGGCTGCCCCGGGGAACGTGGCCTAGAATAAAACTCGTTTCCTCTCAGGCAGTCTACAGCACACGTAACCTGTGAAATGCTCGCTGATCGGGCTCCCAGACAGACTGGATGGATCGGGTCTCCTGCACTGGGCTGAATGAAGCCTTCCTGAGCGAGAGCCTCAGGCCTGGGTCTTCTTCCTACTAGTGGTCCCTGAGCCTGGAGGTGTCCCTGGTGGGTGAGAGGAAGAACTGAGGCCTGGGTGGCGGGGCCCACCGTACCCTATCTAGTCGGCTCTCATCCATAGATTTCGAGTACTCCTTGAGCTTGTACTCCTCCCGCTCGATGTGGGCACTCTCGATGTCGGCAGACAGGTGAGGCATGTTGGAGACCCAGGCCACTGTCCGCTCCGAGGCTGGCATCGTGGGGTTCAGCGTGGAAGGTGTCTGAGAATGCTGGGTCGGGCAGGGTGGGCCCAAGAGCACAGGGGAAGAAAAGGTAGGTGCAATTGCAGGGTGAACACAGCCATCAGAGACAAGGGTCTCAGACCTGTTCCCCTGCCCTGACCCTTGTCTCCTCTAGACAGAAGTGACAGCACCAGGAGAGCAGAGCCTTTTGTCTCTGTTCACTACATCCTCAGGGCCTAAAGCGCACAACACAGCGCACTGGAGCCATGCAATGCCTTCCACACGCAGCTGCCCCGCAGAAAGGAGAGCCAGTGCGGTTGCCCTTCCGGCCCCTTCCAGCCCACTTCTGCCTACCCTTGCCTACCTGCTTGGTGATGGAGGGCTTGAGGCCCCCACCTCCGCCACCACCACTGCCACCACTGCCCCCGATACTGCCCTCCTTGCTGAGGCTCTGCTGTCGTGGGCGGGCAGGGCCGTAACTGGGCTCTGGGGACTGTAGCAGGTTTCCACTGGACGGCCTGGGCTTCTGGGCTGCGCTGACCGTCAACTGCTGGGACTTTCCCCTCTGCAGCGGAGGCGGCTGGCCCCCACCCCCACCGCCCCCGCTGCCCGCACCACCCCCAGCCCCAGGCCCCGAGGGGGCAGGCCTCTGGGGACCGATGGTAATCTGGGGAGGGGACAGCATGTGCTGCAGGTTGTCCTGGAGTGAGAGCTGCCGACGAGTGAAGTCAGTGCCAGAGGGGCCAAACTCATCACTGTAGCTGTGGCTGTGGAGGATGGAGGCAGCGGGGGGCTTGGGGACCCCCGAGGAGAGGTCCTCGCTCTTGCTGTAGCCGTGGAATGGGGCAAAGGTGTCCCCTGGAGGCTCCCCACCTCGGTGGTGGTGATGGTGGTGGTGGTGATGATGGGAGGAGGGTGGGCCATGGCCACCACCCCCTGAGTGGCCTCCAGGGGGCCCTGGCCCATCAGCCGCCATGTGGAAGAGAGGGTTCTGGAAGGAGAGGGGGATGCGGAGCTGCTGGGCAGGGACGCCATCTGTGGTGACACCCATCTGGCTGAGTCGCATGCCAGCTGCTGTGATGGATGAGCCGCTCCCCTGGGAGAGGCGTCCTGGAGGTGCAGGCCGCAGCCCCAAGGCAGCAGTCAGAGAGGCCTGGCTCGAGTGCAGCAGGTCCCCGACGGCCGCCAGGTTGGAAACGCTGCTGCTGTTGAGGCGCCCACCAGGCCCATCACCCTGCAGGTCCAGCATAGACACGCTCTTGTTGACACTCAGCATCTTCTGCTCCGGCTCCGTGATGTCCGAGCTGCTCGTGCAGTAGGCAGGTGAGGAGCGGGCCAGGGGTGGCCGGCTCACATAGAACAGGTCTTTACCCCCACCGGGCGGCGGTGGAGGTGGCTTCTCCTTGGTCGGGGAGGGGATGCGAGCCATGTCCATGGAGCTGTAGGAAGGGAAGGTTGGGCCTTGGGTGAGTGGCGGTCCCACGGGCAGGGGTGGAGAGCTGGCCTGGCAGCCCTGGAGGTGGGTAGGGAGCACCAAGGGAGGCAGCGCAAGGGGAGGACATGGTCCCTCTGGGAAGAGGGTGATGGGGGAAGCAGGAGGGATGAGGAGATGAGGTGCGCTGCAACAGCGAGGAGAAGAGGGCAAAGGCTAGCAGAGCAGGAGTGGGAGTGGGCGTGGGGAGGGAAGGGGGGAGAGGAGAGCCTCTCACCTGTTGAGGCCTCGAGCCATGAAGGACTGAAGGTCGATGGAGCTGGAGAGAGATGGAAAGAGGGGCGAGCACAGACAGAGAGGAGGGGCGTGGATGGGTGGACAGAGCCATGGGAAGAGGGTAGCGTCATGGAGGAGAAGGTGTGAGCAGAGGTGGCACAGCGATCACCAGATAAAGGGACAGATGCTGGGGCCCTGCTCGGCTTCCCTCAGTGCTGCTCACGGGGAGCCCTTGGGTGCTGGCGGAGCTGGGGGAGCACTTATTTAACCAGTCACACAGAGATACATGATCATTTGGCAGCTGACTGATTCCTGAGCCACCTGTGTGGCTGAGCCCGGCCTGGGAACAGCATGGGCAGGGGCAGGGTGGAGCAGAGCTGTGGCATCCCATCTAAGCTGTGGCATCCCATCTGCGGCTTCCATCCAAGCTGGAGCTGAAGCAGCTGCCGAGCCTCCTGGGTCCCCATGTCTCTGCTCCCCTAGGCTCCGAAGGGCTCTCAGCTTCCCACTTCGGGTACCTGTTTCTTTACCATCTTACCCTGAGAACTCATTCCATTTTCTCTTCCTTGCAAGACCCAGGGAGGGGCGCATGGGCCACAGGGAGAAGTCCCCACCCAGCACAGGAAAGCCAAGCTCCTGGGATCCAGGGCAGGGTTCTGGGCCTCACCTGTTGAGGTCCCGCATCATGTAGCCCTGCATCTCAGCCGATGGCCCCCGCAGCACCACAGGCTGAGGCCGGGGCCGCTCGCTCTGGCGGCTTGGCTGCCTCTGGATGTTGGGATTCCTCAGGGCCGTGCTGATGTCGTTGAGGAGCCGGGGCAGCGGGCCCAGCTTCAGGAGGGCCTCCTGGAAAGGCAAGGCTGTCACCTGGGCCCAGTGCCCCATGTAACAGGGCCTTGGAAGGCAGAAACATCTGTACAGTAGTCAGTTTCTCGGGCCCCAGCACCTCTAGGAACCCGAGGAGGACACAGGGTGGAGCACGTGCTGACCTTGCTGAGCTGGGGCAGCACCTCCCAGAGCAGGGCGTGCAGTGTGGAGAGCTCTCGGCCCAAATCGATGTAGCCCTCGAAGCTACTGCTGTTGGTCAGCGTGTCCAGGTTGGAGATCTCGTACAGGAACTGCTGCATAGAACCCCACTCCAGCTCCAGAAACTCATTCATGAAACCCAGAAAGTCCTCCTTTGAGGTAAACCTGGCCGGGTCCAGAAGGCGGAGGTCACACGCACAGAAGGCCACATGCCCACCCGTCACAGGGTCTCTGGGGACTCGGGTACCCCCACCCCGTCCTGGCCGCCTGAGGCCCTGCCCCTGCTGGGAGCACCCCTCACTTGGAAAAGTTGGCCAGGTTCTGGATGACCTTGGCGATGAGCGTGAGGGTACGTGAGGTTTGCTCGTCCGGGTACTCCTGCATAAGCCCAAACAGGCTGGGCGACATGATGGCCGGGCAGAGGAAGCGCAGGAAGAGCGAGGCGCTGATCAACCTGTCGGCGATGTCCTCCCGGCCCCGCTCTGCACAGCGCAGCCTCCAGGATGCAAACACCTCCTTCAGCTCCCTCGGGAACACGCTGGGGGGAAGGGGTGGGGAGACAGAGAGAGAAAGAGAGAGAGAGAGAGACCAGGACTGAGCCCCAGAGACCCTCAGCTTCCAGGGAACATGCTGAGGGGGGTGGCAGGAGGTGAGGGCGTGGAAACAGAGGCCAGAGAGACAGGGAGGCAGGGGGTGCAGGAGGAGACAGGAGGCCACTGGAAGGAGAGGGCACGGGAGAGGATACAGAAGGCCGGGCAGAGAGAGATGCAGGGGGAGAAGGGAGGGCAGAGAGACGGAGGGGTGGGTGAGAGAGACAAGGAGAGGAGGAGAAGAGAAACAGACACCAGGGAGAGACAGAGATGGGAGAGAGATGGAGGGTCACTTGAGGTACAGGGAGCTCGGACCCCCCAACTCTTTGGATTCCAGGGAGATGGGGATGGACTTGGCCCAGGCATGATCCCCAGTCCCAGAATGGCTGGGAGCTCATTCTCCCCTCCCCCAGCTCCACTTGTGTCCCACTGACACCTTAAACTCAGCTAGTGTAACACAGCGCTGGCTCACCATCGCCCCCACACCTACAACTGGCTCCTCCCCAACTTCCCTGGAGCTGTCACTGAGGCCACCAGCCTCCCAGCCACCCTGACCTCGATGCCTGTGAGCGTCCTTCCAGAGAGCCCTCTCTGTATTTCCTGCCACCAACCTGGTCCATTCATAAGAGCCCCTGCACTGCGGTGGACCCTCCCCTCATTCTCACTTAGCTTTATACCTTAATAGCACCCCTTGACCTGTCATGAACCTCGCCTGAAGCCTCCTGGACTCTCTCATCCTCGGGCCACACCTCTCTCCCACCGCCTCCCACCTCTCTCCATCACTGGGCCTCTCTCCTCCTGTCTCTGTGGCCCACCTGTGCACCAGCACCCACCCTGTCTTCCTGACGTGGCTCAGTCACAGCCGCCCGCTCTGGCCTACACCACCCAGGGGACCCTCAATCAGCAGCTTCCACACGCTACTCATGCCGGTGGAAGCCCTCTGAAGGCAGGGACCAGACCTCTGTCTGTTCTACAGCACCCAGAACAATCCTTTGCCCATAACTGGTGCTCAGTCCTCTTGGAGGATGGACAGATGGATGAACAGATGAACACACAACTGCCCCGCCCTGGCCCCTCACCCCCAGGCCCCAGTCTCACCAATGGGAGTTGACCACCTTGCACAGGGCCAACTCACAGCACATGCGCAGGTTGGCCTGGTGCTCTGCCAGACTGGATGCTGTGCACTTGATGGGATCAACCTCACAGTTCTCCTCGGATTCGTAAAGAGCGCGGATGAACTCCCCTGGGGGTGGGGCACAACAGGGAGGGAGTGGTCACACTTTCCAAGGGAGGGCCAGGGGGCTGCCTGGGTTGAAGGAATCGCAGAATCAGGTATCTGGGGTTCTGGGGTTCTGAGGAAGGGTGCACTTGGGGTCAGGGGCAGCCACCTCCGGGGCTGGGGTGGGCCATACCGATGGCATCCTTGAGGTATTTCTGACCAATCAACCTCATGTACTCTTCTATGGCTTTAGTGGCAAGCGTGTTCTCGCGGAATATGAGGTGTTCCCGTTCCATGAACCGGTCGACCTCGGACATGGCCATGTCAGAGAGGAAGTCCTGGGGGCCGGGAGAACGCCAAGGGTCAGCTCGGCGTGAGCCAGTCTCATGCATCTGCCCTGTCCTCACAGCCACATACTAGGGCACGGCTCCCACCTTGGCCTTGCCCGTGCTCTGCAGGATGTGGACCAGCGCGCTAGCCACCTCCTCCTTGCCCTTGACGTTCAGAGCTGGCTCCAGCACCGCGCATAACATCCGGTAGTGGTTGGTGACGTACTCCGCGAACTCTTTGTACAGCTCCATGGGCAGGATGCTCATGGTCTGGTACCGCGCCTTCAGCCGCACCGCTGGGCAGCCTCCTTTGCCCTTGCCCCCGGAGCCGCCCCCGGAGCCCCCACCTCCACCCGAGCCCATGCCTCCAGACCCCCCACTGCCCGTAGGCAGGGTCACAGGGTACCACTGCTCTGTGAAGTGGCGCCCAGCCAGGGTGGCCACCGGCACAGTCACCAGGCCGACATAGCCCGCCTTGTCCTTCTTGCGCTTTTTGTCTGAGTCACGGTACAGATGCAGCCGCAGGGCTCGGACAGCCGGCAGGTTGTTAAACTCGAAGTGTTCGCCCCAGAAGACGGTGTCCCCCGAGGCCGCTCGGGGCTTGGAAGTGGTGCGTGCGTACAGCATGTCATCCAGGCAGAGCTCGCAGTAGTACCGCTTCTTGGGGGGCAGTTCCCGGGCCTCTATGATCCACAGCTTCAGCACATTGTCTACCCGGCGGCTGTTGTCCTGGCGTGGGGTGGGGGTGAGCAGTGTGGATTAAAGGGAAGGGGCCAGAGACAGAGACACCAAAGGAGAAGGGACGGGGAGACAGTGGGGTCAGGCCAGCAATCGTGAGATTGGGAAGGTATCGAGGCTGAACGGAGCCCTGCCCTAAATCCACATCTATCTGGCACCTTATTTGGAGACAGGGTCCTCACAGATGTAATAAAGTTAAGATGAGAGCCTTCTGGGTCGGGATAGATGTGTAACCCAAAGGCTGGTATCTTCATCACAGGGAGAGATTTAAGAGAGACAGACGGAGCAGGCAGCACTGGCAGCACCTGCAACCCCAGCACTCTGGGAGGCTGAGCCAGGAGGATCGCAAAGTCAAGCCCAACACGGGAAACTTAGCAAGACCTTGTCTCAAGTTTAAAAAAATAATAAAGGACTGTGGCTGTAGCTCACTGTGAAGGCGCTGGGTTCAAGAGCTAGGAAGAAATAAGGCTATCCTTCGCATTTCAGAGGCAGCGCGTCCCACAGACACTTGGATTCTGGATTCCCAAACTGAGGCAGTAGATTCCTGTTGCTCGGTGCAACCTAGTTTGTGGTCATATTCTAAGTAGCTCTAGGAAATGAGCTCAGGAGAGCGGCTCCTAACTGAACCACAGAGTAAGTCCTGGGGAAGCTGGCACAATACAACCGAATGTACGAAAGCAGAATGTAGAGCGGAGAATGGTAAGGTTGTAGAGAAACAAAAACACAATAATAATGATTTGCATAAACATAGGACAAGCGGGGTTCGAGGCTCCTGGGAGGATTGGGAGACTGGGCCTGTGTTGCCAAGGAGCCAGGTCAGGTCCAGCACCTTGAGGAGAGTTCCCTTCTAGACTCTGGTTTGGCGTCTTGGAGTTCGTGACCCTCCTGCTTCAGTCTCTTGAATGCTGAGATGATACCCATATACCACCACGCCTGGCCTAGGATAGAGCTCTCTAAGGACACTGAGAAGCCAGGCACGGCACACGCCTATAATCCCAGCCTTAGGAAGCTGAGGCAGGAAGATCACAACTTCAAGCCCAGCCTAGAAACTGGGCAACATCGCAACTCATAGAAACTCTGTCTCAAAACTTATTTAATATTTTTTTTCCTGTCTCAAAATTCAAAAAGGGTTGGGCAAAGGCCCTGGGTTCAATCCCCTGTACTGCAAAGAAGAGAGATGAAAAGGAGAAGGAGGACAAGGAGGAGACGGAGGAGAAGAAGAAGGAGGAGGAGAAGGAAAAGGAGAAGAGTAGAGTTCTCTGGAGGAGGGTGACAGGACTTTAAGCTTGCTGGAAACTGGACTCCAGACCCTGGCTGACAGAGCTGGGAGCATTCTCCTGGGAAACAGAAGCCTCAAGAAGAATCCAAATGTGTAGCATCTTTATGCCATAGGGAGAGAGACCATCTTGTTGAAACTCACCCCACCAGTGTTAGAGAAGGGAAACCGAGGTACAAAGACTGCCTGGTTGAACTCTGGGTGTCCCGCAAGCAGGGTCAGGCAAGCATCTGGCAGGTGTGAGAGGGACACCTGCCTGCCCGCCTGCCAGGGAGCCTGGCGCCAGCTCCCTGAGTCTGATTTCCATGGTAGGGAAATAAGACCACAAAGTAGGATGCAAACAATATGGAAAGAAAGAGAAAGAAATGAAGGATTCAGAAAACAGGGCTGTCCTCCTCACTAGGGTCCCCTCCACTTCTGTGCCCTCCTCTCCCAAAGCTGTCCTCCTCTAGCCCACCTCTAGGCCCATGCTTCCCTTAAGGCTGCTCCTCTGCCAAAATCTAGGGTCAGGCAGTTGGCTCAGTGGCATAAGTGCCAGCCTGGCAAGCACAAAGTCCTGAGTTCAATCCCCAGTTCCGGGAAAAAAAAAAAAAAAAAAAAAATTCTGCCATGGTCCTTCCACTCCCTGGTACCTTGTTGGGTTTCACTGCCCGCTGTAGATTCTCGATCCATTTGTCCCTCTCCGCTGCAGACCGACAGGCAAAACATTTTGTTCCTGATGACGTTGTTACCTAGAGCAGGTGAGCGGTGCTGAGGGACAGAACTCCAGAAGAATTCCTGAGGACTAGGGACTCCCACCAGCTCTCCCTGCTGGTCTAGGGACTCCCTGGGCCCCGGACTTCCATTTCCCTGACATCCCCACCTCTGCCGGTTCCTCAGTCACACTCCCCACCCTCAACTGTCCCTGCCCAGGAGACCCAGTACCTCAAAGCAGAACTCCTGGCCCAGGATGGAGCTGTGCACTGGCTTGATAATGGAATCTTCATCCAAGTTGAGTTCCAGGGCCTCCGCCGCACTGCTGGGGCTCAGCAAGGACTCATGGGAGTGTGACTCCTTGAAGCTCTGCATCAGCCGGGCCCTGGCAGGCGGGGTGGGAGGGAGGGTCAGGAGCCCTACTCTCCTTACACACCAGGAGCGCTGCCTCATGGGTGCCACTCTGAACACAGACTGCAAGGTAAGCTCTCCTGACCCCCTTCTCACACACACAGAAACACACAGGAAGAAAGCCCACCTCTCTGGGGAAGGACATGAGGGTTCTGAGAGAAACCTGAACACTTGAAGAAACTCCTCACCCAGTCACCCCCGGGGGTTGTAAAGCCTACAGACACTAGAACACCTCAGACCAGAAACAGACCGTGGCGGAAAGAGACAGTGAGCGAAAAGACAAGGTGGACCTGGGACACTTCCACGTGGGACCTCCAGGTGACCCCAGAAACCACAGCCGCAGTGCAAGGGGAAACCGGGAAAGGAGTGCGAACGTAGATGAACCACCTGTCTGTCCTAGACCTGCCACCCAAAGAACACCTAAAACCATTTTATGATTCCAACTCTGAGTGAACGAAAAGGTAAGAGTCAAGCTGCAGCAGAACTGGGCGAGAGTGAAGGCAAAGCAAAGATGTAAGAGAAAGCAGTGGGCAGAAAGGGTGCAAGGGGGCAAGAAACAGAAAAGGAGTGAAGACCAGTGCAGACCGAGGACCAGAGGGGCGAGGGTAGGGGAGAAGAGGCGCTCCCGGACAGAGAAAAGAAGGGGCTGGAATGGGAAACCCACAGTAAGGAGAGGATGCAGGGTGGGGGGCACAGGACCGGGACAGGAGCAGAGCTGGAGAAGACGGTAGGGGCTGCAGAGTAGAGCAGGAGGCAGCGGGAGGGGCGCCCGGTGTGGGAGCCTCCGTGGAGTTATTTATAGCAGCTCCGTCATCACAGGCTCTGGCTGCCGTCAGCGCCGCGCTCCCCCGGCCCCCGCCCCCGCGGCCAGGAATACCATGCCCTCGCCCCTCCCCCACCGACCCCAAATCCAGCGCCGGGGACATGGGGGGGCAGGGATAGGTGTGACTCACCTCACCCCAACCTATGCACCTGCCCGATCCTGGGGGCGGCCAGACGTGAGGGAAAGGAAGGACAAGTTTCTCCCGAGGGACTGGCAGGGCCAAGGGGACACCCAGAGAGGGACCCCAACAGGCAGACACCCGGTGACAAAAAGCCAGCCTCAGGGACAGCGGCCCTGGGTCTCTCTGAGGGCTGCTGCCTCTGCCGTCAGTCTATGGATCAATCTGCAGCCTCTGCTCCCTGTCTGTCACCCTACACACCTGTCCCAGCACCCCCTTTCTGCATCCTGCTCCATATCTTGGGGGTGAGGCCCGAGCCCTAATCTTTACCCACTCACACCAGACACCCCAGCCCTACTCCAGCCTGCTGCCCCAGTGCGTTGTACTTCTGCCCTCCCTCAACCTACCACTCAGATGCTGCTGCCCCTTCCTCAGGCCCTGAAGTCCCTTCCCGCCTCCTCAGGCCACCGCGCAGCTCCTCCGACCCTTTCTGGAGTTAGTCCTGCACGCCCGGCCTGCCTCGACGGTCCTCCGTCACCCACCCCGGCCGCCTCCTCTCTCTCGTCACAACCATCCCTCCTCGGGCTCCTTCCTTACCCCTACCTACCGGTCATGGTCAGCACTTCTAAAGCGAGGCAGGATCTGGCGAAAGCTGCTGGTCCGGTCAAGTTTGGGTTGCGACTTCGTCCGTTTAATGGAGCTCTTCAGTCTTCGGCTCAGGAAGCCTTGCTGGGGTGACAATGGGCCGGGGTGGGGTGGGGTGGGCAATGTCAGCTCTACCTACTCACGCCTCATCGGGAGTCAGTCCTGGCAGGAGGTGGCACGCGGGCAGGCCCGGGGATAGGAGCCCTGACACCCGCGTGTCTCCTTGCTCCCACGGGTGTGGTGCAAGCAAGCACACAAATACACACACAGCATGGAGCAGGTGGGAGAGCTGGTCTGAGAAGCAGGGGGATAGAGCTGAGACTACTGGGTCGGCTGGAGCCCAGGGGATGCCCCAGGCACATACCCCCCCAACCCCCTCACCCCCCCCCCTCAGAAGCCGGTCCCAGCTGGGCGGGGGGGCGCGGGGGGGGGAACAGCTGGGCGCATCTGGCCGCGCTTCCATTCACTCACCGAGGGCCGGAAGGGCGCAGCGGGGGCGGCCTCCATGCTGTACTGCTTCCCCCCTGGGACACTCTTCCTCCGCGAGCGACCCAAGTGGTATTCTGGAGGGGAAGAGAGGGCCCGGAGGGAAGTTGGGGAGGGGGCACCCCAAAACGAGGAGTCATTGGCTCGGGTCTCCCCCTTGCCCGGAGCGCTGCCCACCGCCCTTGGCCCCTGGCGCCGGCCTCACCTACCCCCCGGAAAGCAGCAGGAAGAGCAGCGGCGACGCAGAGGCTGGCGGCGGGAAGGGGGAGGCAAGGACCCCGAGCCCGAGCCCCCAGAGGGGGACGGAGTGGGAGGCCTTAAGCCCATGACTGAGGGTGGCAGTGAGCGGGAGTACAGAGGGTCAGGGAACCCAGGAATAATAACGGGAGGCTAGCGCCCCGGTGCCCACCCCCCATGAGCTGGGTGAAAGGTCATTGCCTGCACCCAGCTGGGGACATCCTCCACCTGCCCTGCACCTCCCAGAACCCCTGTCGGTCTGGAGGCCCCGGGCTGCCTCCCATGACCCCCTCCTGGGCTGGAGGGGGTGCCCCTAGAAGGCACCCAGGAGGGGTGGCAGGGCAAAAAACTAGGGCCAGAAAATCCAAGGAAGGGGCAGATGGGGGGAGGGGAGAAGCAGCCGGTTCCACGTGCACTGCAGTGGCTAGAGCTCAGAAGAGAGCGGGCGAAAAGGTGGAGGCAAGAATGCAGGGGAGTGGGCAGGATGGGCCGTGGGGTTTTGGGGACAGCGAGTATGGCAGAGGGCAGGGAAGGTGGACGCGGCTGAGGCGGCTCAGCTGAGCCTGGAGGAATGGCAGCTCTGAGCAGGGAGCCCGAGGCTTCTCTGCCAGAGAATTTGGAGGGGCCGAGGGGCTGGAGGAGAATGAAAGTGGGGGGATGCCAAGCTCCGGCTCCAGCTCCAGAATGGCTGCCCAGGCCTGGGCTCCCCCCCGCAAGCCCCACAGCCACCACTGCAGCCAATGGGGGGGCAGGTGCTGCATCAGGGGCGGGGCCACCATCTCCACGGCAACAAGAAGCTACAGGCTGGAGTGGGGGGGGGGTGGACCGGAAGAGCTGCCTGTTAACCCTCTAGGTTCCTGAGCAGAGCCCGGGAGGGCCGAACTACGTTTTCACTGTGCACTTCCAGAGTTTCAAATTCTCCTAGAGTCAGTCCCCAGGCTTCCCTTCACCTGCGAAACCCAGGTGTCACAGTCACACACAAAAATCCAGATCCCAGCACAAAAGAACCCTAGCAGTCTTTCAAGAACACACGGAGGGGGCCGGGGAGATGGCTCAGTAGAGTAAGCGCTTCTCTAGCAAAGCACAAGGGTCTAAATTCAATCCCCGGTTCTGCCTAAAAAAAAAACAAAAACACGGAAGCACAGAGCTGTGGGGTGCGGGGTGCATGCACCAAGACCACAATACAGAAATGAGACAGGGGTCTCCACGCTTACGAGACCTACACACAACTGTGAGCACGGAGATCATAGGAATCCAGAGACCTTGAGGCCCACATGCCCCACATGCTTAGCCACGGATGTCCACCTGAGAGCTGCTGGTGTGGACCAGTGGTCTCAGCCTCTCAGGCAGACATGCGGGCAGCATACTCCAGAAATGGACGTGTAGCTCTGAAGGCACACATGTGTCCCCACGCAGGAGAACACCAGTTTACCGCGAGCTGTATGCCTGGCTACATCACGCCGTAATCCCGCAAGGTCTTCTCACTGCCAAAAGCACAAACAGCCTTCATTCACAAGAAACTACAACCACATCCACCCTGTCTTGAGACAACCTCGGCTCTTTCCAGCCTCGAACACCAACACCCATGACTGCTCCCAAGGAGCAAATGTGTTATCGCTGTTACAGGCTAATAAGCGTCCAAGGGTCCAGAAGGGCTCCTTCCAGACACATTCCTCTACGTTCTACTATGGCTGCCTCTCTCACTTCAGCGAATAAGACTCGGCCACCATTTTCACACTCAAGCTCCCCTAAGAGAGGTGGAAAGTCTAACTTTCCATCCACTAAAATTCTGCTCTGGAACCAAAGCGTGAATGGAAGGAAAAAGCATTTGCTAACTCGTTTGCTTGGTTCTTGGAAGTAACACCACCTCACACACAGCCCCAGGAGCCACCAGCTCACACACAGCACCGGGAGCCAAGCGCTCCGGATTCACACAGGCCCACAGAAGCTGCACACACACGCTCACCGGCACGCTCACTGCTGCAAGGAAAAGAACGGCAGAAGCACGGAAAAGGGGGGCAGAGTGACAAAAACACAGGACATCCTGTTATTAGTGCTGCATACAGTGACACGCACAGAGAACACAGCACAGGACCACATATGCGCATGGAGCAAACCTGAAAAGCGCACACTGCGAGGCTGGGTCTCTATGTCCCATCCCTGCACGATGTATACACGCATGCACACACATCACAGCCTCCTACACAGGCCCGTAACACAGGCATTGTGCACACACCCACACATGTACACACCCTGTATACACAATTGCACTCACACACACAGAGAACAAGGGCTTGGACTCCCGCCCTGCCAACATCTCTATCTTGCCACCCACGGCACTCCCTGCCCTCCATTCCCCCAAATCCCTACGCTTCCTTTTGGCCTTGTCCACTCCACACCTGCTGGCAGCTAGCTCTCAGGGCAGCAGGAGAAGAAAGGTTGCCAGAGAAAAAGATAAGGAACAGAGCTGGTCAGGAACCAGAGCAGTGGGGCAGCGCTCTGCACAGGGACACAACCTCTAGAAGCCTATGAGGTCAGCTGCTGCTGAGATAGGCCTTCAGGGAGGAGTGGACTTCCACACTGGTGGCCTCACATGCTCCAGGCCCATGAACCCCGTGCCCTCTCCCATTCCCCTCCATGCTCACCTGGGGCAAAGCCTGCTGGCTCCTCACCCAGCTCCCAGCCCCAGGCCTCGCTCCGGCCCCCTCTGCCCTCCTCTAACGTGGCTGTCCAGCTCTCTGCCATATTCCCCTTCTTGGCTCTGAGTTCCCTGGCTGTCCTCATCTCCGAAGCCGCTTTCATCCAGGTGCCCTCTTCTCCCCACTCTTCCTCTGTACCTCACTTCTTCCCTCCTGAGCGTTTCTGTCCCCACTCCCAGGCCAGGCCCAGACTCACACCTGCCTTCCCAAAGGTGCTTTACACACAGCAGGATTCCAAAGGACACATACTCTCCTCTGCCACCACACACCACCCACATCCAGACACACCCTGGACACCCATGCTGGGACTGACACAGATCCTCAGGCCAAAGCTGGAACACACATGCAAAGACACACACCTGCCAGCAGGGACATTCTGCTCTTGCGGCTGGCCATACATTCCTACACACGGAGGCTGCTGGGAGGTGAGCCCCAGCCGGGACGTGCATGCTCAGGGTCAGAGGTGACACAGATGGTAGGGCTAGGAGCTGCCTACCAGCCAGTGGCTGGCCCCACAAAACCCTTAGGCAGAGGCAGGGTAAAACAGAACACACTTGCACACGACTCACTGCATATGTGTGCAGGAGGAATTGGGCCCCATGTGCACATGGCACCAACACACAGGGGGCACAAGCACGGACAGGAACACACGCTAACACATGGGCTGCCCCCTCCGGGGTGCTGCAAGACCCACACACATCGGCCGCCCCCGCGCGCCTGCAACCCTGCGGACCCCCGACCTCCGATGCCCCCCCTCCGGTTACCATAACTGCCCCCACTCGGAAGATGCAGCGAGAACATGCGGAGGAAGCAGCCGCCGCCGCCGCCGCCGCCGCCGC